ACATCAATATAGACATATTAACACACATAAGAATGATCTGTCTCTTCATATAGACATTTAATGTTCATCTATCATAAAATATATGCATAATTAACTAAACGTATACACACAAACACTTGTATTTATGCAGTTAGTTCCTATATAGCAATCTATCTTATATGTTAATTATCTATGTCTAGGTATATAGATATACAGATATTTATATGGTCGTTCCCAATATATACTGTCACTATCTCCAACTGAGTGACTACTACTCTATAGAAATATCAACATACTATACTGTATATGAATTCCAATATATACATATACTAACTATATACAGTGGGTCTAATCAGAGTCTCTTTCTCACTAAAGGCCTGCTAGCCAAAGTCACTTAGCAGGGTTAACGTCAGGCATAATGAAATATTAAAGTGTGTCTGTAACTGCCACTATTGTTGCGCCTCGGAATAAGATATAACCCATTTTTGACAAGTTTTCATCCTTCTCACATAGAAGACTCTACATGCAAACCAAATCAGCTACAGAGAAGAGGGTAATGAATAATCTATTTCATATTCCAAAGGCACCCGCTGCTTAGAGAGAGAGAGAGAGAGAGAGAGAGAGAGAGAGAGAGAGAGGAGGGAAGGAGACAGGGAGGCATAGAGGGTGAAAAAGAAGGATAAAAAGAAAGGAAGAGTGAAAAAGAAAAAAAAGAAGGGAAAAAAACTGGCATATGTGGCAGATGATACCGCCAGCCTGCCGAAGGTGTCACATGACACACCTAATGTTTAAATCATAAAAAAGGGGATATAAACAAATCATTAGCCCCCCCAATGGTTGTTTAATGCAATTTCTTAATGAACATAATAGCCACAACTAATAATGAAAGAAAATAAAAACATCTAAATGGGCCCCAACTTATCGTCAGCGCTCAATTATTTCCTTGTCAAGTTGTTATGATTTAATGAGCCCCAGTGGGACTGACGGCTGTCAGTCAGCTCTGACTTTTTGACACCATTACAACTTCAAATAGAGCCGCAGCCACGCTGCTTTTCCACCAGTCACACACTGCTGAGAGGATCTGACAGGCCCGAGCGCGAGAGACTGATAACACACACACACACAGAGACTGAGCCAGCAAAACACAACGACACACATCCAAGTCATTACACGCACAGCCGACTGATGTCTCACATACACACGCGCAGGTGCGGAAAACACGCTTGCTCGTCCCCCGCACGCACATACATGCACGCACATAAAATAAGGACAAACAAATCTCATCGCCATCGTACTTAAACGCACATGCTCTTTCTCTCCGCAGTTTGATGCAAAACCCAATCAGAGAGGTCATTATCTGATGAGGTTTGTTAAACTGGCGGGATTCAGCTCCCCCTCGTCCTTTCTCTTCCTTCCTCAACTTAATAACTCTCAATAGGTTGGCCCCACATGGGACACACGGAGACGCACTATTTTGTTGGCCATTAATTTGGCGCTTTGAAGCCGTAGCTATGAAGCAGAGGCAGAGAAAACCCCCCACCAGGCTGCTTCCAAAATAAGACAATCCACCCGGCCTGAAACAGAATATCAAATGCCGTCTGCCTGTCTATCTGACGGTCTGTCCGTCAGGCACCTCGACCGGCAGAGGTGTGCGCATGCGTCCCGTGTGGAAGGGGTGTTGAGCGTGGGATGTTGGGAAGAGAGGTGGCGGTGTGCTAATCAACACAGTGTTCCAAAACCTAGTGAGTTACCTACGTAGGCAGCAATCATAGGCACACTCTCGACGTTAAGGCTGAGGAATTTAATAATCTGCTGTCTTTAAGATTTCTTCAATTGGGCAAATTTTAAGACAACATTGCGTATATCCTTCTCAGAGAAACAAGAAATCGCAGAATGCACTGTGACAACTCTGTGAAAAAATAAAAACAAGAAAGCAGACAAAGTGAGAAAAATTCAATACTGAATATTGTTATAGCTCAATGTAATTAAAATGGTTCATTTTACCCAATATTTGTGCTTTGTATTTTTGTGCTTATTATAGTATTGCGTAATTATCTTAGCAACATGCTAACAGCTAACTCGATTCACTAGCATAGATTATTTGTCTTTATGCTTAAAGCTGCAGTCCGTAAGTTTTGCCTCTTTGTCGCCATCTCTGTTTGAAAACCTGCAATTGCAGCTGTTTGCAGAATTATCTTCCTTGCGTGGCTTGTGCTCCGGCGCGGCTCCAGCGTGGATAAATCTAATGTTTTGAGAAGTATGTGTGGATATTTACTGTACTTCTCAATCACAGATTCTAGCCTACGTCTTGGAATATATGACTCAAATAAGAATTTTCACCGGATGTTGTCATCTGAACAAGTAATAACAAGTCTGCCACGTTTGTTCTGACCAACTGAGGAAAAAAGCATTACAATAAATCGTGCTACCAACGGTGATTTAATCTAAAGATCGGTTAGCTCATATCACATCAAACCGTGCAATTATTGTTATACTTTATTCTCAAATTATTAATGTTAACAAACAACATCAGCATTGCGTGACTTTGAGTATAGTGTGTATTAGCGTGTAGATTTCAATTTCTTTACAGTCTAATCTCTAATTGTCATAACATTCGAATTTCATATTAAGAAATCCTTTTAACCCAAAAAGCAAATTATGCTCCCTTCGAACTGGTTGTCTTTAAAATACAAATCTTGTGTAATCCCAGGCTATCTGTAATCAGAAGCACATTTAAAACTGGAATACAATTTAATTTCATTCACATGTGTTTCATAAACACATAGTCCTTTCTGGATTACAATCCGCCATCAAAATGATACATTTAATTATTC